GGCGAAGAGTTGGCAGGCCCGCCACGTGGATCTCTAGCCCCACAAAAATGTGGGATTCCTTTCGCTGACCAGAGACCGTTTTCTCCTCCGTGGGAAGAATTTCCAACCATGGCTGAGGCTGAACCCCCAAAGGGTCCTATGTACTGTCACGGGGGATACTTCCCTAAATTTACATAAGAACTCGCCAAACTGCATAGGACCGTCTGGGAAATCACAAGTAAATCTTGACTTCAAACCCTAAACCCTGAACCCTAAACTCTAAACCCCTATACCCTAAACCCTAAACCCTAAACCCTAAACCCCAAATCCTAAACCCTAAACCCTAAACCCTAAACCCCTAAACCCCTAAGCCCTAAACGTTTGGGGTGTTAGGGCCTAGCCCCCCGAGCAGAGTTTCGCTCATGCCTCTGCGAGGCGGTCGATGCGAGTGACGATGTCCTGCTACCGTTTAGGGATTTAAAAGCTGAGGGTTTAGGGGTTTAGGGATTCAAAAGCTGAGGGTTTAGGGGTTTAGGGATTTAAAAGCTTAGGGTTAGGGGTTTAGGGATTTAAGAGCTTAGGGGTTTAGGGGTTTAGGGCTTAGGGGCTTAAGGGTTTGGGGCTGTAGGGGTTTAGTGGTTTAGGGTTTTAGGGTTTAGCGGTTTAGGGGCTTGGGGTTTAGGGGTTTAGGGGTTTAGGGCTTTAGGGCTTTAGGGCTTTAGGGCGTTAGGGGCTTAGGGGTGTAAGGGCTTAGGGCTTGCAGGGATTGCGTGCTTTAGGGGTTGAAGGTTTTCTCATGAGCCTTCGTATTTCAGGCTGCTAGAAGGGTTTGAAGCGTTTTCGCCAAGAGTTCTGTGAGGCAGGGTTCCAGAAGGGGTTCGGTTGAGGGTTCCATACGCGTTATACAGCTGTCTGGTGCTTGGTAGGGAATGGGGGAATGGATCCCTGTGCTAGTCCCTTAAGGTCCCTTATAGTAGTCCCCATAACCCGTTCCCCCATTCTCTACTAAGCACCAGACACCTAAACCCTAAACCCTAAACCCTAAACCCTAACCCATTACCCCATTCCCTACTAAGCACCAGACAGACAAGGGCTGGGGCGATGTCAGCACTATCGAGAAGTCTCTGAAAAGCCAGGATTCGATCCTACATCTTTTCCCGCTGGGGGATTTTTTGTTTAGGGTTTAGGGTTTAGGGTTTAGGGTGTAGGGTGTAGGGTTTAGGGTTTAGGGTTTAGATGCAAGTTGAGGTTTCGGATGGAGTGTGTAGGAATTCATCCAAGGGTCTTACTCTTCAAATGGCGACTCGGAACACAACTTCGACTTGAAGTTCAGATTCAGTGGTTTGCAGCCTGAGATTCCGAGGCTTTGTATGTGTGCGTCGTGTGTGTGTGTGTGTGTGTCGTCCGCAGATTATTACCTAGCTTTCTAGTATTTTTCGAACTCTTATCGCAGCACTAGCATTAGTATTTACTATAGCTTTCTTAGTCTTAGCCTTCTTAGCCTTAGAGTAGGGCAACCGGGCCCCACTTACTTACCCGATGTGTCCCTGGAAGTCGAGGGGTTCGTGAGCGGACACTTGCATGCACTGCGCGTCGCTTCGGGGACTGAATAGGGTTTAGGGTTTAGAGTTTAAGGCTTTAGGGTTTAGGGTTTAAGGCCTTTGGATGTGCAGACGAAGTCGAACTCCGAGGAACGCGCTGTCAGCATGCTGGTCATACGTCAGAGAGCTTGAAATGCTTGAAAGACATCTGCTACTGAGACGCTTGACGACATTCGTGCAAACGCAATGCCTGCCCATCTCGTCGTGGGGGCATCGCCTCACCTGGACCCTGAAATAGTTCTCTGGTACTAAGAATTAGGCGCATGGCTCGCCAGACACTCCTCCATCTTGCTCCGATGGCGCTCATCCGCACAGAGATTTTTGAGCCTCGGAAGGGCTTTTGCTGGTTTCTCTTTGCAGCTACGCACGCAACTTGCTAATGTAGGAGCCTGATTAAGAAATTCTGGAATCAGGTTCCTACATTAACAGCTTAATCGCACCCAGAGCCTGGGATTCTTGTTCGAGAGTCTATCTGAAATACCAAAGTCAAGTGCACCGAATCAAAGCAGCATTTGCTGCTGGGACGATTTCTGCGAGGAGCCTATGTAGAATAGAACCGTTTGCTAGAGAATTGGGCCAGCAACTTGAAACGCGCGGAGCTGCCCAAACTCCAAGCCCCTCACACCCTGAACCCCGGAACCTGCTTAAAGCCTCAAGCCCCAAGCCCCCCTCAACCCTAAACCCCTACACCCCTAAACCCAAACCCTAAACCCCTACACCCCTAAACCCTAAACCCCTAAACCCCTAAAACCCTAAACCTAAACCCCTGAACCCTAAACCCTAAACTCTACACCCCTGGACCCTAAACCCCTAAACTCTACACCCCTGGACCCTAAACCCCTAAAC